TATATATATATATATATATATATATATATATATATACATATATATATATATATATATAATGCTACAGTAATTTACTGTAACATTTACTATAGCATGAACAGTGATTCTTGGGTCCTATTATTATAGAGGAATAGATGTATTATATATAATATTATATTATTATAATATTATATATAATATATTAATCTTATATTATTAGCATTAATACATCAATATCCAACCTACATCCTCTCTCAATTGTAGAATTTCACAAATTCTAAAATATAATAGTTTTTTATTATTTGGGGATTCAATATCCCAAAATTGGTTGTGAAACAAACATGGTTTATGGAATTCTAAAACCCAAAAAACTTTTAATCCACCTTATATCCCAAAAAAAGGACAAAACAAAAGAGAGGATTTCACAAATCCTAAAAATATATTATTTGTTTATAATTTAGGGATTCAATATCTCAAAATTAATTTTGAAACAAACAAAGTTTATGGAATCCCAAAACTCAAAAAGAGCACTTTTTACATCCCAAAACTTGAAATCCACCCTATATCCCAAAAAATAAAAAACAAACACCCCCTAATTGTAAAGCTATTTTACACGAGCTTTGCTACATGGACCCAAAATATGGGACCAATAGAGGGGACAAGTGAGGTGTCTCCCTACTATTGAATAATGAGTTGGTCATCATTAATGATGGTCAACTCATTATCCAATAGGAAGGAGACACCTCACTTGTCCCCTCTATTGGTCCCATATTTTGGGTCATTGAGGAATTTTTCTTCTGGAAAAAAGAAATTGAAGTGATAATAACTATAGACGTTTGCTTCAGTTCTCCAAAAATGGGTTTTAGTTTACTTCTTACTGGTGTGAATACCGTGCAAAGCAAGTCGTATTTTTTTCTCTCACTATAATAATTGTGGTTTTAATTTCTAGAGTAATTTTTTATTTGCTACAGTATTCTCGTATGCTACAATAATATTTTTTAAGAAACGGTGTACCCAACTTCATGTTTACTACAGTAATAGTACTATAGTAAATGATGTTGGATAATTTAACGATCTAGGCATGAAAAATTGAACTAGAAATATAGATCTAAATTACTGTTCACCGACGAAAATAATGAAAGTCTTCTCCTCTCTCCTCCCGTAGCCAATGATGGGAATTAGGTCTCTTTTCTGCGTACGGTTGAGAGGAGGGACTCTCACCCTTTAAATAGATATTTGTGATTAACCCTACCCATCATGGTTTAATCACAACTGTGGGATTACACTCCGATTGATCCTATCCTTTAGATATTCAAGATAACCATCCAACTTGATAAACTTGAAACTGTCTAACCAGACCATGTGGTTAGCATCCTGATCCTAACTTGAATCGATGGCAACTTTAAATCAAATCCAAAATCGAGTAGGTTGGGCCACATGGGTTCGTTGGATTAATCGAACCCAACAATCTCCCACTTGGCACAACATGCCTCATTTTAATTTTAAAAACATTTAAATTTTTAAAAAACTTTTAAAGTCGGGTGCGCACCCATTTATTTTAGAAAACAACTTGTTGCCATGATTCTAATTAGAATAATTTCCGAAACCTTTTCCTTAAAACAAAAGTACCACTAATGGTTGATCGTGAAAACACTATATGCTCTAATATGGCACAAGGTCACTCCACGGTCCAACTGCTAGTACTACTAATGTTCTAAAGATATTTTCCTTATGGTGGTTTTAGTGGAGTGTAATAGAGCCGTACATCCCTTATGGTCAAATCCGATGTACGCCCTTAAGTGTCCTCTGCAACATACACAAACGTGCATGCCGTTCTGAAACTTTTACTGGCATCCGCCTTGTGAAAACCATCACCTTTAGTCCAGAACGAAAGCCTCAAATATGATGCCCAATCACATTCAGCTTCTGCACAAATTTAGGAGTCTCTTTACTTTAACCTTTATGACTCTATGGACCACTATCTTTAATTCGAGTTTCTCTACAATTAACTTGAAACTCTTTACTTTAAACTTTAGTTTTCTTTACTTTAAAATATATATCAAGCAACAATGACCAAGAACACAATGCTTGAAAATATCAAACTGCTAAAAATTAGCATAATAGTTTCTTTATGAGCTCATAGCAATCCAGAATATAGTACTTGAAAATAAAACAAAACTACTACGACAACTAAATCTCACTGATCATATAGAATCGAAAGACTCTAAAACACCCATACTGGATACATGTTCCTTGAAGAACCCTGGAGAAATTCCCTTGGTCAAAGGATCAACAATCATCAATTGAGTCGTCAGATGAGGAACCTCAATCAATCCTTGTTCGACCTTATCAAGGACTAACAAGTACTTCACACCGATGTGCAATCCTTGTTCGACCTTATCAAGGACTAACAAGTACTTCACACCGATGTGCTTATTCCTGCTAGAAAAATTCTTGTTCTTTACAAACTGTACAAACAAGTACTTCACACCGATGTGCTTATTCCTGCTAGAAAAATTCTTGTTCTTTACAAACTGTACGGCTACTTGATTGTCACAATATAACTTTACTGATCTTTGAATGAAATCCACCATTTTTAGTTCACTGATGAAATTCTTGAGCCAAGAGGCATGCAATGTTGCTTCAAAAACAGCAACATACTCTGCCTCCATGGTGGATGTCGTTACTAAGGATTGCTTGGCACTTTTCCTGGAAACTGCTCCTCCATCGAGCAGAAATATATAACCTGATGTTGATTTTCTGCTATCAGCACATCCTGTGAAATCTGAATCTGAATAACCAACGACTTCTAGATTTTCAGACCTTCTGTAGACCAACATGAAATCTTTGGTCCTCTGCAAATACTGCAAAACCTTCTTTACAGCTTTCCAATGAGCTACACCAGGATTTTGTTGAAACCTGCCTAATTTTCTCACGATATAACTGATGTCTGGCCTGATGCATGACACCGCATACATTAGACTGCCAATTGCGGAGACATACTCCTCAGAGTTCACGAGCCTACGCTCAACTTCATTTTGTGGGCATTGAGATTTGTTGTACGTATCTCCTTTGACAACTGGGGTTTCACCTGGTGCACAAAACTTCATACCATATCGTTGAAGGACTTTCTCAATATAAGGACTTTCTCAATATAAGCCCTTTGAGATAAGCCCAACAAGCCTTTAATTCGATCTCTATGGATCTTAATGCCCAAAACATAATGAGCATCTCTGAGGTCTTTCATATCAAAATGTCTCGAAAGAAAAACTTTAATCTTATGTAGGAGATGAATATCGCTGCTGGCAAGTAATATATCATCTACATATAATACTAGAATGAGGAATCAGCTCCCACTGATTTTGAGGTATATGCAGCGATCGACAAGGTTTTCTCGGAAGCCATATGACTCATCATGTTGCGAGCAACATCTTGATAAGTATGATTTCTTCTTTCAGCTACTCCATTTTGCTGTGGAGAACCTGGGAGAGTGTACTGAGGAACAATGCCTTGTGACCTTAAGTACTCAATGAAAGGACCATGATTTGTGCCGTCCTGATCGCTTTTACCATAGAATTCCCCACCTCAATCAGAACGCACATATTTAATCTTTCTTTCTAATTGTTTTTTCAACTTCAGCTTGAAAGATCTTGAAAACATTCAGTGCCTCATATTTGTGGTGAAGACGAAAAATATAGGCATAGCGCAAAAAATTATCTATAAAGGAGATGAAGTATCGCTGACCACTATGAGAGAGAATGGGAAGGTCTACAAATATCTATATGAATGAGGTCAAGGAAACCTACACTCCTGAATTACTATTAATCCTAGGACGCTTTGTACCAGAAGAAAATGAATTCACGGACATACAGAGAGGGGAAAGAAGAGATGCATCCAGATTTAATCTATAAAGACCGTCAATTAAGAAACTATGTCTGATAACATCCAAACCAT